GGAGCAGCCAATTATATCAACCAATTAATAACCACATTAAAGAAACACATTGGTAATAACACAATACTAGTAGGGGAATTCAATACCACACTCACAGCAGTGGACAGATCACCTAAGCAGAAGATCAACCAGGAAAAAAGGACATTGAATGACACAGAGGACCAGATGGACTTCACAGATATATACAGAGCATTTCATCCTAAAGCAAAAGAATACACATTCTTCTTGAGTGCACATGGAACATTCTCCAGAATAGATCACATACTGGGTCACAAATCAGGTCTCAACTGGTACCAAAAGAATGGGGATTATGCCCTGCATATTTTGAAACTACAGTGCTTTGAAACTTGAACTCAATCACAAGAGGAAATTTGGAAGGAACTCAAACACTTGGAGGTTAAAGAGCATCCTACTAAAGAATGAATGGGTCAACCAGTAAATTAAAGAAGAATTAAAAAAAAATTCACAGAAACAAATGAAAATGAAAACACAACTGTTCAAAACCTTTGGGATACAGTAAAGGTGGTCCTAAGAGGTAAGTGCATAGCAATACAAGACTTTCTCAAAAAATTAGAGAAGTCTCAAATACACAAGCTCACCTTAAACCTAAAGAAACTGAAGAAAGAATAGCAAATAAAGCCTAAACCAAGCAGGAGACAAATAATAAAGATTAGAGCAGAAATCAGTGAAATAGAAACCAAAAGAAAGGAACAGATGAACAAAACTAGAAGCTAGTTCTTTGAAAGAATAAGATCAATAAACCCCTACCCAGAATTATCAAAAAGAAAAAAGACCCAAATTAAATAAATCATGAATGAAAGAGATCACGACCAATACCAAGGAAATGCAAACAATTTTAAGAACATGTTATGAGTAACTCTACACCAACAAATTAGGCAATCTGGAAGAAATGGATGCATTCCTGGAAACATATAAACTACTAAAATTGAAATTTATAAACTACAAAAACTAAAAACAGAAAGAAAAGGAAAACCTGAACAGACCCATAACCGGCAAGGAAACTGAAGCAGTAATTAAAAATCGCCCAACAAACAAGAGTCCTGGGCCAGATGGCTTCCCAGGGGAATTCTACAAACATTTCAAGAAGAAATAAAACCTATTCTTCTGAAGCTGTTTCAAAAAAACAAATAGAAGGAAAACTTCCAAACTCGTTCTATGGGGCCAGCATTACCTTGATCCCAAAACCAGACAAAGACCCCATCAAAAAGGAGAATTACAGACCAATATCCCTGATGAACATGGCCAAAACTCTCACGAAGATACTAACCAATAGGATCCAACAGTACATTAAAAGGATTATTCACCACCACCAAGTGAAATTTATTCCTGGGCTGCAAGAGTGGTTCAACATTCCCAAATCAACATGATATATCACATTAAGAAAGGACAAGACCATATGTGATCCTCTCAACTGATGCAGAAAAAACATCTGACAAAATACAGCATCCTTTCTTGATTAAAACTCTCCACAGTGTAGGGAGAGAGGGAACACACCTCAGTATCTTAAAAGCCATCTATGAAAAGCTCACAGCCAATATCATTCTCAATGGGGAAAACCTGAGAGCTTTTCCCCTAACGTCAGGAACATGTCAGGGAGGCCCACTCTCACCACTATTGTTCAACATAGTACTAGAAGTCCTAGCAACAGCAATCAGACAACAAAAAGAAATAAAAGGTATTCAAATTGGCAAAGAAGTCATACTCATGTCATAAATAACATGATACTTTATGTGGAAAACCCCAAAAGACTCCACCCCCAAATTGCTAGAACTCATACAGGAATTCAGCAACATGGCAGGATATAAAATCAACGCACAGAAATCAGTTGCATTTCTCTATGCTAACTATGAGACAGAAGAAAGAGAAATTAAGGAATCGATCCCATGTATAACTACACCAAAAACCGTAAGATACCTAGAAATAAAAACCTAATCAAAAAGGTAAAGGTTCTGTACACTGAAAAACTACAGAAAACTTATGAAAGTATTTGAGGAAGACACAAAAAAATGGAAAAATATTCCATTCGTGGGGATTGGAAGAATAAATATTGTTAAAATGTCTATACTACCCAGAGCAATCTACACATTCATTGCAATCCCTATCAAAATACCATCAACATTTTTTCAGAGCTGGAACAAATAATCCTAAAATTTGTATGGAACCAGAAAAGACCCAGAATAGCCAGAGGAATGTTGAAAAAGAAAACCAAAGCTGGTGGCATCACAATGCCAGACTTCAAGCTATATTACAAAGCTGTAATCATCAAGACAGTATGGTACTGGGGTGCCTGGGTGGCTCAGTTAGTTAAGCGTCTGCCTTCGGCTCAGATCATGATCCCAGGGTCCTGGGATCGAGCCCTGCATCAGGCTCCCTGTTCCACGGGAAGCCTGCTTCTCCCTCTCCCACTCCCCCTGCTTGTGTTCCCTCTCTCGTTATGTCTCTCTCTGTCAAATAAATAAATAAAATCTTAAAAAAAAAAAAAGGACAGTATGGTACTGGCACAAAAACAGACACACAGATCAATGGAACAGAACAGAGACTCCAGAAATGGACCCTCAATTCTATTTTTTTTTTTTAAGATTTTATTTATTTCAATTCTATTTTTTAAAAATATTTTATTTATTTGTTTGAGAGAGAGAGAGTATAAGCAGGGAGGAGGGACAGAGGGAAGAGGGAGAAGCAGGCTCCTGATGTGGGGTTCAATCCCAGGATCCCAAAATCATGACCTGAGCCTAAGGCAGATGCTTAAGTGACTGAGGCACCCAGGCCCCCCTGAACCCTCAATTCTATGGTCAATTAATCTTTGACAAAGCAGGAAAGATTATGAATGGAAAAGGACAGTCCTTTCAAGAAATAGTGCTGGGATAGTTGGACAGCCACATGTAGAAGAATGAAACTGGATCACTTTCTTATACCATACACAAAGATAAACTCAAAATGGATGAAAGACATAAATGTGAGACAGAAATACATCAAAATCCTAGAGAACACAGGCAGCAACCTCTTTGACCTCAGCCATAGTAACTTCCTGCTAAACACGTCTCCAAAGGCAAGGGAAACAAAAGCACAAATGAACTATTGGGACTTCATCAAGATAAAAAGCTTCTGCACAGCAAAGGAAACAGTCAACAAAACTAAGACGCAACCCACGGAATGGGAGAAGATATTTGAAAATGACATATTAGAGAAAGGGCTAGTATCCAAGATCTATAAAGAACTTCTCAAACTCAACCCCCCAAAAACAAATAATCCAGTCAAAAATGGGCAGAAGACATAAACAGACACTTCTCCAAAGGAGACATACAAATGGCCAACAGACACATGAAAAATTGCTCAACATCACTCGGGATCAAGGAAATACAAATCAAAACCACAATGAGATAACACCTCACACCAGTCCAAAGGCTAAAATTAACAAGACAGGTAACAACAAATGTTGGCAAGGATGTAGAAAAAGGGGAACCCTCTTATGCTGTTGGTGGGAATGCAAGCTGGTACAACCACTCTGGAAAATGGAGGTTCCTCAAGACATTAAAAATAGAGCGACCCTATGACCCAGCAATTGCACTACTAGGTATTTACCCCAAATACACAAATGTAGTGATCCGAAGGGGCACCTGCACCCCAATGTTCACAGCAGTAATGTCCACATTAGCCAAACTGTGAAAAGAGACCAGATGTCCATCAACAGATGAATGGATAAAGAAGATGTGGTATATATATACAAAGGAATATTGCTCAGCCACCAGAAAGGATGAATACTTACCATTTACATTGTTGTGGATGGAACTGGAGGGCATTATGTTAAGTGAAATAAGTCAATCAGAGAAAGACAATTATCATATGGTTTCATTCATATGTGGAATATAAGAAACAGCCCAGAGGATCATAGGGGAAGGGAGGGAAAACTGAATGGGAAGTCATCAGAGAGGGAGACAAATCATGAGAGACTCTTAACTGCAGGAAACAAACTGAGGATTGCTGGAGGGGAGGTGGGTGGGGGGATGGGGCAACTGGGTGATGGGCATTAAGGAGGGCACATGATGTGATGAGCACTGGATGTTATATGCAACTGATAAATTATTGAACACTACATCTGAAACTAATTATGTACTATACGTTGGCTAATTGAATTTAAATAAAAATAAATAAATGAATGAAATAATCAGAGAAAGGTAAAATACCTTATGAGTTCACTTAAATGTAGAATCTATAAAAGAAACGAAACAAAACAAAACCAATCTCATAGATACAAAGAACAGATTATTGGTTGCCAAGGGGTGGAGGTTTGGGAGGTGTATAACATAAGTTAAGGGGATCAAGAGGCTCAAATTTCCAATTATGAAATAAGTCATGAGGACGTAATATACAGCACGGTGACAACAGTCAGTAATGTACTGCAAATTTGAAAGACTAAGAAAGTAAATCTTAAACGTTCCCATCATAAGAAAATACAAATGTTTTAATTTTGGTGACAGACAGTAACTAGACTTATTGTGGTGATATTTCCCACTGTATTTAAGTGTCCCATTATTTATGTCATACACCTGAAACTAAGATAATATCGTATGTCAAATATACTTAATAAGAAAGAAAATGTGAAGCCCAAAATACAATAGTACACACAGGTTGTATACACCCTCACAGTTATGTAAGAAAAAAAGCAAGTGTGAGGTTTCCAGGTTTTTTACATAATTATTTATCACTTAAAAAAACAAAATCACTCATGAGAAAAAATTATCCTACATTTGGTTAATTCTCAAAGAAAAAGATCACTATTTCACAGACTAGAATTCTAAAACTTCTATTTTATATGTTTCACATATTTTGGTGAAAATTAAACAATTCCAATCATTTTTCTAACTTAGCTTATACATGACATATATAGACACATATATACACACATGCGTGTGTATTTAAATTGAAATTCTGCGCAGAGATATTTAGGAAGTATTAAATGTTACCATTGATAAACTTACGAATCAACATGCAGAACCCTCTGGCCACTTCTTGAACATGCAGCTGCAATGATGGATTCAGGCAAACCTATAAAAACACACACCTATATCACTCAGAATGTAGAAAAATATATATATATATAGAAATCTTACACAAATAGTTCATGCATGCCATCACTGCATATAAAAGTTTATCAAAGGAGGTTCATCCTTGTATTCAAACTTCTAACATTTATATCATCGGATATTTGTTAAATGTACACTACTTATCCTAAAATTTTATTATGTGGAGATTTTTTTTAAATCAAGCACGTAAAATCTTTTTATATGCAAATTTCCATAAATGAGCAACTTTCAAAATATTATTCATATAGCACTTTGTTATTTAGTAGCTATGTTCACATACTAGCTCATCTCATTTTCCAAACTGCACTGACAGTGAAGCATCATCAGCACAGAAATGAAATACTGAGGGGCAAATATGTTAATTTGTTGCCCAATGCTTTAATTAATTTTTTCCTATTGTTGAAATTTGAATCCAAATCTAACTCCAAAGCCATCCAGTGCCTATGAGGGGGAATGGCATACATTTTTCAGTTTAAGCAATAGGTTAGGTAGTTCAAAAAGAGGCCATTTATTGAGACCTGAAACCATAAAACGCCTAGAAGAGAACAGAGGCAGTAATTCAATGGACTATCACACAGCCATAAAAAAAGGATGAGATCACGCCATATGCAACAACATCGATGAGCCTAGAGGGCATTATGTTAGGCGAAATCAGTGAGACAGAGAAAGAGAAATACCGTATGAATACACTTATATGTAGAATCTAAAAAAACAAATGAATAAACAAACAAAAAGCAGAATCAGACCTACAAATACAGAGAACAAATTGATGATTGCCAGAGGGGAGTGGAGGGGGGCACGAGCAAAAGGTGTGAAAGAGAATGGAAGACACAGGCTTCCAGTTATGAAGTAAGTCACAGGAATAAAAGGTACAGCATAAGGAATATAATCAATGATATTTTAATAGCACTGTATGATGACAGATGGTAGCTATACTTTTGGTGACCATGGCATAATGTAGAGAGAAGTTGAATCACTATGTTGTACAACTGAAAAATAATGTAACTGTTGTCTAAATGAATGAATGAATGAATGAATGAACGAACAAAGAAGAAAATCCTATTTTAAAAAAGAGGCCATGGGCGCCTGGGTGGCTCAGCTGGTTAAGCGACTGCCTTCGGCTCAGGTCATGATCCTGGAGTCCTGGGATCGAGTCCTGCATCGGGCTCCCTGCTCAGCAGGGAGTCTGCTTCTCCCTCTGACCCTCCTCCCTCTCATGCTGTCTCTCATTCTCTCTGTCTCAAATAAATAAATAAAATCTTTAAAAAAAATAAAAATAAAAAATAAAAAAGAGGCCATTTACAAGACACATTATCTCACTTTCTGGTTAATACAGCAGTTTGAAAAGAACATTAGTGTTCTGGAATCAAATCGAGCCACACCATAAAGTGGGTTATCATAAAGGAAATATACAAGTACTAACAAAAAAAAAAAAATCACAAATTACCAAAGAATGATTTCATAACATAAAAATTTCAGATGTTCACCAGTTAATACACTATATTATACATTCAAGACTGTTCCATAACTTTTTATTGTAAAATCTACCATTTCAGTAGAAACTATTAAGAATCACTTATATGTAGAAACTATTAAGAATCACTTATATCAGTCAGACAAAGCATGTTTTGAAAGTTTAGTGCAATTCTGTAGTACTACCACCGACTCTTTCACTATAATGAAGCACCTTGATCCTCTTGGATTTTTATGTAGTAGAAAAGAAACAGCACATTTTTTTTTTTTTGTCAAGGACTTAAACTACACACTAAGCATCAAGGATTTCAAGAAAAGAGAAGAGTTATCTTCCTTATGTAAAAAGCAACGGGCATATGGAAGCAATTGACACAATCTAGCTAAAAACCACCTTAAACACAAGCTCCAGCTGCATTCACAGAAGAACTAGAGTTTTCCAGTGGGGACTACTGTGGGTGTATAGTGTTTGGTTCAAAAACAAAGTTCTGACTCGATGTACTGAAGACAGCCATTAAATATCAATTATTGGAAATAATCCATCATAAACTTTCAACTTTAACTTCAGATAATTCAAAGAGAAAACATAGTAAGAATTTGTGGTGTAGAAGGAACTAGGAGAAAGAAAGTTTTATTTTTTTTGAAAGTTTTAAATAGTTAAGCATACTTAGTTCTTCAAACAGTCAAAACTGTATTGTTCTAATGTCTTTTATCTTAAGACTATCTGAACTTTTTACACCTAAAGAAATAACTTTTCTCATTAATGAAACGCAGTCACTATGGTACTTTAAAAGCTGCCAAACATCACAGTTAAAAAGGACAACAGGAAAGAAATATTTGGGAAGTAGAATTAGTATGTTAAAGCATGTAATAATGACAGCATTAATAATATACCACCAAACATTAGTATAGGGCTTTATGGTTCACAGTATCTTTTCATATACATCACCTCATTTATTCCTCATTATAATCCTGGGAGGCAGGCATTATTATCCATGTGAGAAAATGGGATGAGAAAGATTAAATAACTTGCCAAAGATCAAGTAATTCATTAATTTGATATCTCAAATTCAATTACCATGGTAAATTCACTCTCTTCAACTTGGACATGAGTCTGAGAATGAGGATTCAAGGGAAGGACAGCAGCATAAGGAAATGAGTATGGTCTCAATCAGACAGACCTAGGCTTGAATCTTAATTTTGCTGCTTAACTAGCTATGTGACCTCACACAAGTCACTTGCCATCTCTGCGCTTTTGTTTCTTCATCCATCAATGGGAATACCGCCATTTACCTCATAGGACCATTAAGTTGTTGGAGGGTACTTGCTCTATAAAAACTACCTACTTTTATTATTGTTCAGCAAGATACTTTAGAAGCAATACATTTTCATCTAAATACTACTCCAAACATACATCTACTTTTACTAGATGCCAACTCCAATGGCAAGCAACAACAAAATTACTCTTCTATTTGGCTCTATTAGCTCTGACTCTGGATAGGCAAATATGCATGTGGTTATTTCCATGGCTGCAATCAACAGTCAGAGGTCATGTCTCTGGCTGACAAAGCAAAGCCAAGGACAGATTTCAATACTGAACATGGTTTGAGTCCAAATACACAACACCAAAATAACTATCATTTGTGTTTTCCCTTAATACTTCTATCCAGACACTCCCCATTAGTTTGTGAAATTGATAGGCTGTTTCTACATTAAATGGCAAGGGCCTATTATCTTCATGCTTAGAATGATTAACAGACTAATAATACAGTTAGTAATGTCTCCCCACATCTCATATTTCTTCCCACCCATTTAATAAACACTGAGTTAGTTCCTTGAACAGAGGAAGCATGTATTAGATTTTCCATAAATATTTGTTGAAGGAAAGAAAAAAAGAAAGAAAATGGGGAAAGGGAAGATAGAGAAGAATGAAGCAGACTTTGACAGGTGGTGAGAAAAAATAAGATAAGGTTAAGACAATTACTAGCCTAAAAGAGCTGAGTCTAACAAATAAAAATTTAAAGGGATTGGGACACCTGGGTGGCTCAGTCAGTTAAGCATCTGCCTTCAGCTCAGGTCATGATCCCAGGGTCCTAGGATCCAGTCCGCATCAGGCTCCTTGCTCAGCGGGAGCCTGCTTCTCCCTCTGCCTGCTCTGCCTGCTGCTCCCCCTGCTTGTGTGCATTCTCTCTCTCTCTGACAAATAAATAAAATCTTTAAAAAAAGAATTTAAAGGGATTAAAATAATAATTAAAACTATTATAGGAACACAATGGAAAGATGCATTCCCTCTGTGGAGCAGTCACTGAAAGCTCCAAACAGCAGAGGACACTAGCTGCGTCTTTCAAGATCTGTAATTAACACAACTGAAGAGTAGAGAAGGAAAAGGTGAAAGAAAAAAAAAAAGGAAAATGGAAGGGAGTATTCCCGGCAAAGGGTGAAGGGAGAACCAAAAGGTGATGTTCAAAAAAGAGTATCTGGAACCAAACTGGAGTCTGAACTTGGAACCTGTAAGCAACAGGGAATCTTGAAAGGATTTTAGCCAGAACAGCATGGTGAAATCAGTATTTCAGAAAAAAAAAACAATTCTAGTAACAGCATGAAGGATGAACTTGTATAAAATTGGAGCTTTAAGTTTCAGGGGTTTTTTCTTAATTATTGTATAGGAAAAGTTAACATATTTAAACTTGTTGGTCTTATCGATAATTTAGCAAAGTAAGTAAAATAACTGCTTGTTTTGTTTAAATTCATATTTATATGCTCAATTTTAATAGCATTTAAACCCTTGACTGATTTAAAAATGAAACCTTTTTTTAACATTTGGCACCATAAAATGTGAACTACTTCTGAATCATTACTCAAATTCACACAATGTCCTGTGAGGCCTTTATACAAAACATATATAAGCTTACAATGAATTACATAGTCTCTCCCACAAGGAAAAGCCAGACATGAGATAGAAACAGATAACCTAAATCAGGGTCAAATCACAAAGCATTACACTGGAAACACACTGTAAAATATGTGAGTACAAATATACAAGCACAATGTTTTCAACTACAATATGGGACTAATAATATATCTCACAGGAATGTAGGGAGGAATAGGTACAAAGTAATATAAAACATCTTACACAGGGCCTCCTAGCATGTCACTGACATTCAATAAATACTGGTTCTGTTCCCTTCTCTTCTAACCCCTTCAATAAGATTAGTTATGGGGCACCTGGGTGGCTCAGTCGTTAAGCGTCTGCCTTCAGCTCAGGTCATGATCCCAGGGTCCTGGGATCGAGCCCCACATCGGGCTCCCTACTCTGCAGGAAGCCTACTTCTCACTCTCCCACTCCCCCTGCTTGTGTTCCCTCTCTCCCTGTCACTCTCTCTCTGTCAAATAAAATCTTTAAAAAAAAAAAAATAATAAGATTAGTTATTTGAAGAGGAAAAAAAGAAAATCACTTGTTTACTTAAGTTATCTTCAAAGATGTAAAAACTT